CTGGGGCAACCAGCACATTCCGTACCTGCACAGCCTGTGGCAGAGGGCGGAAATGCGAATTGGAATCACAATGGAACAGGACTTCAACGCAGTGATGCCTTCCTTGCCGCTCTAGATGCGACACACCACCTTGCTCTAGCAGCTGCTGAACTACGGGGTGATTGAACATGCCAGAAACGGTCAAGCACCTGCGGATGTGTCTGGTTGCCATGCACTGGTGGGCCAACATGGAAAGACCGTCTACATCAGCACGCTCATTTTCTTCCAGCCAGTCCTGCAGGAAATTCAACGAACTTTCAAACGCCAAGTGGACGGGGCCTGCATGTGGGGCCGCACGGGAATGTCGCTTGGCACTGGCGTGTAACCCTTCAACCCATCTCTCTGCTACCGGGACAAATCGGAAGCGGGCCGCCCAAGGCAGAAGTAGAGGCAATTCGTGCACATCTGCAGCGCCTTCAGCAAGCTGATCCATCTGCCTGCAGTGCCTGGATGGCAAAGCAAGGCAGACACGTAATGATGTTGTTTTTCAGGTTCAATCTCAGGGTCTTCTTCAGCCTGGGCCTGCAACCTACAGGACTCAGAAAAATCGTAGAGCTGAAGACTTCTCTTGGCACACCGCTGTCGCACAGCAAAACTTTCATGACCGAGACCGAACAGCACATAAGGTAACTGTCGCCAGTGAGACAGCTTCACACGCAAGGACAAATCAACATGTTGCCGGGCAGCAGAAAAATCTGCTAACACAAGTTGCTTCTCAGCTTCAGGCAGGATGGCTAAGCTTCGATGAGCCAGCAACGAACCATGAGCAACATCGAAGACAGATCCCATCTTTATCCAAAATTCACCTGACGCTAGCTCTGGGGCACGTCGAGTCTTTAGCGGGCACGTTTGCTTTGCCTTGTCGCTGGAGTGGGCTTTGCATGGACAGCTTTCAGACCATCGCTGAATGTGCAAAATCGTCTCAGCAATGGAACGCATGGCGTGCGAGTAGGCTACAAACAAATCTGAGGTTAGGGCAGCATTCACTATCTCCAAAGAAAGTTGCCTCGAAGCCTCGCCCTCACCTGCGTCTTCTGTTTGGTTCGATCCTGACCCTGACTTACTTTGATATCTATCCAAATTCCAAACCTGACGCACAAGTTCAAGAACAGGCACAAGCTGGATTACAGCATCCATGCTCGTGCCCCAACGCCCTGCATACACGGCTGCATCAAACTGCTCAAGCTGCCCAACACACGCCGCCCACGGGGGTCGCTGCATACACGTGCGCACCAGGCGCTGACGCGACCAAGGCTGGCGAAGCAAACGACAAACATGCGTGAGCTGGATCAAGTACGTGTCCCAATGCTGCAACACGAGCTCCAAGTCCCTAGTCAAGTTGTGGGATATGTGTAGGAGGCCTGCTATGAAAATTTGGCTTGAAAAGTCTAGACGGTATGGGGGCCGCTGGTCTACAGATTCTGGCACAGGCTCAACTGCTTGCATGTCAAGCACAAGGTGTTCATTGCCATTGTCATCCCCAGCAATCTGTGGAGCTGGCTGCGCGAGAGGCTCAAACTGAAACCCAGGCTCATCCACTTGGAACCCGTCCTCATGAAGTATCCATGGCCCGATGAGGTCATCCAAATTGCCTCGAAACCCACATAATCGACTCTCGGTCCCAAGATCACCTGTGCGAGTGAAGGTGGAGTTCATGAGCACAGCTACTTGAGCCCATGAGTTAGCCGAGAGCCGCTCGGAATGGGCTGCTGCCCTGACCTTGTGAGGCACAGATGCTCTTCCAGACCCAACAGCTACTGGAACAGAAGGCACAAGCTGAAGTTTAGGCTTCAACAAGTGGACGCTATCAGCTACCCTGCGTTCATCACCCTCGCCAGACAAAAGCACCTGAGCACACCTCCATGCCTCAGGCAAATCATCAAGCAACATGGTGGCATGGCCTTGCAGTACAAAATCGTAGCCTTTGTGCGGGCTGGAGTCCATGGTGGACCATCTGATAATCCCCGAACCACGTGACTGGTCAAGCATTTCATCAAGCAAGCGCGCCTTTGCTCGCTGGAACCCTATCAAGACTATCAGCCGATGCCTGTACGATGTGGTGCGTGAAGGAGCAGCATGGCCTTGATTCAGAATGGCCTCAAAATGCGCACGGATTGCTTTATCAGGAACAGACACTCGCAAAGACTGCTTCAAAACCTGATGAAGATGATTGGGTGCCCTGAGTTCAGCCGCAATGAGAACGCACTGCAAAACATGATCAAGATCATACACATGCTGGGAAGCTTTAGCAGATCGCAGCAGCATCCGCTCACGAAGCTTGTGCAAAAGCAGCATGTGGCGCTGGGCACATGTTGTAGCTTCTTGAGTTGCCTCCGGAGTTGTAGGGTTTAGTAGAGAATGCAAGTTGCCGGCAAGCTTTATAATGCCAATTTCATCTATCGCCCAATCTGCCATCAAACGAGACACCTCTGCTGCAGTGAAAGTTTGGGCAGGCAAGGGGAGGTCTGGGGCACTCAGGAGGTCGCGGCCGTGCACCCAAGCCCGTGCCTTCCTGCCTCTTAATACTCGCGGGAAAGCACAACGCAACCATTTTTGCTCCAACATAAGTAGAGCATGTGGAACCGGAATATACACACAAAGACTGCTTGCAAAGTCAGTGGCCTCGGGGAATGCTTGAAGCAATCTTGTCAAGGAATCGTCTGAAGCGTGAAAAAACCAAGCTTGAGCATGACGGGCCAAGTGGTTCCCTTGCACATGCAACGGCACACCTTCTCTGCCACAGGCGGCACGTGCAATTTGGGAAAAAACGAGTGGAAACTCATGATATAGCGCCACCATCCAAAAATCTCGCAACTCATGCTGTTCCCCGGTCAAATGATCCCAAGGCTGCTTTATCATCTCAGGTTGCAAGACCATGAACCCTATGACTTTGCCATGCAAATCATCAGACGCCTGTGTCCACAGGGATCCCTCCATCACTGCACTGCTGCTGGCTGCTCGCGCTTCCGCCACCCGTGCCAACAAGCCCCGCGCAAGATCCCCTTCTAAACCGTTCAAAGCTTCAAGAACACTGGCTGTGTACAATGCTTGAACAGGCACACGCACGTCCGACGAGGATGCTGCATTGTTGGTGAATCGCCTTGCAAAGCGAAGACGCCTGCTGCGTGCCACGACCCAGCAGAACATGCTGAGCAACAATCGCCACCAAGGCACCATTATCTTGTCTCTAGGAACTGCTGCGTGGGATCTTGCAAAACTGCCTTGAATGGCTCTAGAACTGCAAGTACCTAGGACTGCATGTAGAAGTATAAAGGAAGGTGGTAGTAATAGCTAGGCCTGCTGCTCGCTGATTTGGGTTCGGTGCGCAAGTTCATAAATCCTGCCAACCTTACTTACTATATGCTGTGACAGACTTGTCAATGTCCAACGCCTCAACATGCCTACTGCTGCTCCTGACTGCTACCTGCGGTACCTGGAAGAGACAAGCCCTTCAACTTCATGATCATGCTGCAAAAAGAAGACTGCTGTCCCGGAACTTGCATTTGTTGAAGTCACACTTCCTCAAAACAAACAGCCACGGGCATGACGGCATGACTTACACGAAAATGACCTTTGCTCATCTTATGCTGGTGTGACATGCAAAACTCAACATGCTCACGCTGCAGCACGGCAAGCAAATGACAAGCGAACCCAAACACACTCGCAGCTGTTTGCACACGTCGGTCACCGAGGGAAAGCTTAGAAAACTTCTGCAAGATAGGAATGCTTTGTCCGGCATCCCGCCTGGTAATTTTTGGGGAAAACTCGCACAAGACAATGGTCAAGAATCATGCGAATCCCAGGAAAACTCTGTACTTTGCATTGCGCTCTTCAAAAGCAGCCGGGAGATTTGAACTCAATTGAAACCGCAAAATCTAAGCAGGCAAGGCCCTCAGTACATGGTCTGCTGCCGATCTTGTAGTAGATCTTTCGGAACATGCCCCAGGAGTCAGCAGCGGAAAACAGCCATGCATGTTTAGCATTACCATCTAAAGTTTCCAAAGCCCAAACGCCGAGGGTCGAGGCTTCGGTTGATGCTCTTCCAAATCCAACAAGCAGTATTCTGACTTGGACATGCTTTCCCATTGCTGTAAGGCAACAAGAACTGAAGTAAGTCGTCCATGTATTCATGCTTTGCCGGGCAGTTCATCTGACAGGCCTTGCCTCTTCCAGCAGCATTCAAATTAAGGCGAGGCTTCTGAATATTACGATGAGTTCGAACACGGCTCAAACAAGGCTTTAAGAAGAGTGTACGATTCTGGCACCCAAGTGTTGTCATATTGAAATGCCCCAAAACACCCCTTTGCTTAAAGTCTAAGTGGATTCTTCTGTTGGTTTGGTTCGTTCCTGCAGGACGCATGTTGCTCCCAAGAGAAAATCATTGTGATATTTTTCACACTGCAAGCATTGTGACCCCCCCTGTTTCCACCTCTCCCCAAAGCCGACTACTGGCATTGCGGGCTTTACTAGTAAACATCTTTAGCTCTACGTCGGAGTGCCCGGTTTCTTATTCTTTTCAGCCTTTGATCTTTGACTTCTGCTCTGGCCGGTGTGTTGTTGCTGCGTCTGGTGTATGTTTCTGAGCTTTGCATGCTGTGTCAATAATGTCTAATTATATCTTAGTATCCTCTTGTGCTGTCGCGCTAAGGACACGCTTCCGATCCACACGGGGGGTTCTCTGAGTTGTCACGGGCAGCATCGTCGCTGACTTTGTAATGCGGCTCCCGTGGGGTTCGTTTTGAGCAGTCCTTTCAGGCACACTGATCTTGCTGCATTGTCAAATCTTCAGACACGAGAGGGGCTTGGGCTAGAGATAGCATCAGGAATGCTAGCGCACTTCTACTGCATGTGGGACTACGTAATTTGACAGCCTAGCTTCTGCAACAACCTGCGTAGGTGAACACAAATGAATGGAACCAAGACAAGTTGTGGGATGCAGGAGACTCGCCAACCCGTGAGTCCTGTAGCAAGACGCTTGGAAAAGCACGGATGAATCTGAACCACAGCGCCTGCGGGAAGCCTGTGCCCAGACCCTTCCGCCAGCACGCAAACTGGAATGCCTGCGGAATTGCATTCGTCCAGAAGGTCTTGTGGTCGAGCAATGGGCGGGTCTTGGTTCTCCACACGTAGCCACAATGCGCGGCGGCCAGAGTCTTGACCCAAGCTCTTCAACTCTGGGGAGTTCGTCGAGCGAGGATACCCTTGGCTGCGGTGCGCAGCTTCAATCAAGAGCCGCACTCCGGCCTCCGTCAAACAATTGTTGCTCACATGCAGCTGCATCAATGGTCGGTGTTGCGCAGCGGCTTCGCAAATGTGATCTGCCAAGGCAGTTGCTGCAGAGTCGTCGTAGCGGTTTTTGTACAGCCGAAGAGTTGTGACATGCAACGATGTTTCGCGCAGATTCTGCAACATCTGGGCTAGAGTGTCCGATCGGCTCAGGCTGTTGTCCGCAAGGTCTACTGAGCATTCGACACGCGCCTCGGAACTCGGAATCTGCT